CAAGTTCCGGCTCCTCTACCACCGAATCTTTTTCCGAAGTGACGTCGTCATCGTCGCGGGACTCGCTACCCAATCCCCAAGGGCGCAACGCCCCTACCACGCCCCAGAAACAGGCGCGCAGCAACAGGCGGAAGCAGTCGAACAAGTCGGGCGGCAGATGGAGTAGGGGAGGAGGCTCATCAGACGATACCGGGTCTGACCGCAAACCCCCCACGTCACAGCCAGCAGAGCCCACGCACAGCGCCGCCTCGTCCCCCCAGAGCGCGTCTAAGACACGCCAACAACCTTATATTGCTACAAACAACCCATCGCCGAGCCAGACGCGATTCATGGCAACAGCCTTTGGAGGTCCTTCGGGAGATTCGCGGAGGGGAGTAGTCTCTCCTCGCCCTAAGGGTCGCGGTATGATCTAGCCACATATGTATACTCTAACACTGAATCTGACTGGCCTTGTGCAGAAGCGAAGAACACTCTCTGCCGCAATGTCACCATATACGGTCACTGTCGGTACGAGAATAGTAAGTGCCCGTGGCTGCATCTGCCGAAGTGTCTGTAGTGACCCTGTCTAGCCTGTCCGTACATACACGACAACCTCAAACTGAATCAGAATGAGAACACCAAAAAGAGGTTCAATGTTGACTCGCCATCTTTCACTCCGTTGCAAGCAAACACGAATGGATCCGTGACACCTTCGCCTCGCAGTGCTGCCATCTCTCCCAAGGCGGCTAATGCCGCCGTCTTTACACCCAAATCACAACGTTCTAGTGAGTTTAGAACAGTCGTTAGCTGTACTGTCATTCGCATGCTGATTTCTTTCAGCTGTCACCACCCCACGTGTGCATGCAAAAGAGCCCGCAATTGATTGGCATTCGCAAGACTTTCAAGAATTTGTTCCACAGTCTTTTGACGGTCAGCAGATGGTGCGTGGGGCTTTCATTAAATTTGGTTCTTTGTCCTCAGAATGATTTGACATGGCGTGCCTGGCACCCATCTGGCTTGAACGAGGATCTCGACTTACAATCAGTCCAGGTTGATCCTAATCTTGGCTACGATCCGTTTAGTACACCCACTAGCATATCCACATTGGGTGGTCCAAGCCACCAGGCCGCTGCCATCAATCCTTACGCGCAAGACGCTTCGGCGACGTACTTTCAGAACGCCAATGCTTTCCAGAATCCAGCCTATCACTTGTACTGGCCGGTAGGACCTCAGCCTACCGGCTTGCTTGCTTACCAACGCACTGCTCATGACTTTTTCATACCCGATGCGCTGCGAGAAGAATTGCAAAAGAAGGCAGAGGTCGCACGCCAGATTGCCCCAAACAGTACGCTACCTATCATTGAGCAGTTTCATTCGTTGTTTTGCTTGGATATGTCACCTCAGAAAAACACTGCGCCTTTCGGATATGCTAGCTGGATATACAGAGCTGTATCCAGCAAAGATGGAAAAACTTACGCACTGCGCCGTCTCGAAAACTTTCGATTGACGAGTGAGACTGCAATTCGCTCTGCTCAACCATGGAAACGTGTTTTGAACGGCAATGTCGTTACTATCCATGAGGCATTTACCACTCGAGCTTTTGGCGATAGTTCCTTGATCCTCGTCACAGACTACCATCCAAATTCCAAATCACTTGCCGACGAGCATTTCAAGCCCGTGCAGCGATTTCATGGAAGACAGCCAACATCTTCGCATGTACCAGAGCAGGTTTTATGGGGTTACACTGTCCAAATTGCGTCAGCGTTGAAGGCTATACATGGGTCAGGATTGGCTGCAAGGTTGATCACGCCTTCAAAAATCCTACTCACTTCAAAGAACCGGATACGTTTAAACGCCTGTGGCATCATGGATATTGTTCAGTTTGATAATGCGCGGTCTGTGCCTGAGCTTCAGGCAGACGATTTTGTTCAACTTGGACGGTTGATACTGTGCATCGCGAACAACAACCCAACAGCTCACTTACAGATGCAGAAGTCTATGGACTACATTACAAGAAGCTATACGGCCCGCCTTAAGGAATGTGTTCAATGGCTGCTCAACCCACAGCCACCAGCTGGAACACCGTCATCTCCCACCTCTCCAGCGCCTCTGCAAAAGGACATTGACACTTTCCTTGGTGGGATTGCCGATCAGTTTGCATCTGTTTTTGATAGTGAGCTTCATGCCCAGGACAGCCTCACAGTTCATCTTGGTAAAGAGTTGGAATCATCACGATTGGTCCGCCTGTTGATCAAGCTCAATATGATCAATGAGCGGCCAGAGCTAGACGCGTCCCAAAACATGCCAGGGAACAGTGGCACAAATCCGTCTTCTGTATGGGCCGAAACTGGCGAGCGCTATTACCTTAAACTCTTCCGCGATTATGTTTTCCACCAAGTGGATGCAAATGGACACCCTGTTACGGATCTGGCGCATATCTTGGACTGTCTTAACAAACTAGATGCCGGTACAGATGAGAGAATAGGACTAATCAGCAGAGACGAGCAGAACGTGCTGATTGTGAGCTACCGAGAAGTGAAACGAGCACTGGAATCAGCATTCCAGGATTTAGTACGGGCGGGACGGAAATAGGATTTCACCAGGTCCAGTTCACTCGGATAGCCTCGCTACTGACGCAGGCCATTTGCAAGCTGTTCCAGTATGGGTGTTAGGGGCAAGCTTCCATGCAAGATGACATTGCCATTATTGAGATTGTTGATAGCCTACAGGCTTCTTCAAAGAGAATGAGTGTAGGTGTTATGACGGGCCAGGAGCTTGTTATCAAGGGTGGAGATGTGAGGGGGTTTTGCACGAGCTACGCAGTGTTGTATCGAGGAATGGAATAGTACGAAACAGGTCAGATACAGATTATTCACAACACAATCAGACGTTTTTTGAAACTTCATTCTTTCTCAGAATGACCACTGGATGGAACCTTGACCGCTAATGCAAAGGACTAGGGATGGTGGTCTGATATTTGGTAACTAGAACGTGACGGCATGACAATAACGGCAGTAGAGCATGACCTGGCAGGCGTATGTAATATGGCCACGCCCCTCACCACTGCTGAAGCCCAGAACCCTATCCTCTTCCTTTCCTCAAGCACAACGAACACATGATCAAGGATGCTTGGTCGGCACCGCCTCGCTAGTATCGCGCCGCGGGGCTCGGCGGATTTAGCACGACTTAGCGCGAGATTTGCTGTCGCTCAATGTCCGAAACTCCGCCCCACATTAAGCACTTTCTCCCCGCTACGACTTCAACAATCGCCTTTCCTAAGAAAAACAGCATCCATAACAACAACTACAACAATGCCGGGAAAATACGAGCTATTGTGCCTTGAGAACCCGCTACTGGACATCCAGGGCGTTGGGTAAGTCGGACACTCTCCCCTAAACAGCTTGTTGCCATGATACATCCCAGTCGTGGGGATGGAAGAGCACCGCAATGAGCTTGCGTTGAAAGCTTGCATTGACAGCTCGCAGTGACCAGGCTCTCCTGGACAAGTATGGTCTTAAGGCCAACGACGCTATTCTCGCCGACCCAGAGAAGCATATGGGATTGTACGAGGACTTGATCCAGAACTACAAGGCCGTCCTCATCGCCGGCGGTGCTGCGCAGAACACTGCCCGAGGTGCTGCATACGTCCTTGAGCCCAACTCAGTCGTCTACATTGGCTGCATTGGCAAGGACAAGTACGGTGAGACTCTCGAGAAGATCTCTGCCGATGCTGGTGTCAAGACCGAGTACCTCTACGACGAGAAAACCCCCACCGGTCGCTGCGGTGTTGTCATCACTGGCCACAACCGCTCACTGTGCACCGACCTCGCTGCTGCCAACAACTACAAGCTTGAGCACCTGAAGCAGGACCACATCTGGAAGCAGGTTGAGAATGCCAAGGTCTTCTACGTTGGTGGCTTCCACTTGACCGTCTGCGTACCCGCCATTAAGGCGCTTGCCGAGGAGGCTGCAGCAAAGAACAAGGTACGGACATGTTTTTGATCGGCCTGATAAAAGTTTTGAGTACTAACTGTTTAACAGCAATTCATACTCAACCTCTCCGCTCCATTCATCTCACAATTCTTCAAGGATCCTCTCGATGAGGTCATCCCATACGTCGATATTCTGATCGGCAATGAGACCGAAGCCGCAGCGTTCGCTGAGTCCCACGGCTTCGAGACCAAGGATGTCAAGGAGATCGCAAAGAAGATTGCCAGCCTGCCCAAGAAGAACACCAACAGGCCAAGGACAGTCGTCTTCACTCAAGGCACTGACCCCACTATCGCCGTCACTGCCAAGGAGGGCGGTGAGCCTGAGATTCGGGAGGTTGCCGTACATGCCATCAGCAGCGACAAGATTAACGACACCAACGGTGCCGGTGATGCATTTGCTGGTGGTTTCGTTGCCGGTATTGTACAGGGCAAGCCTCTTGAGAAGGCCATTGACATGGGCCAATGGCTTGCGAAACTCAGCATTCAGGAGCTCGGTCCCTCGTACCCGCAGCCCAAGCAGACTTACAGCGGCTAAGCGTTTTTCACATAATGTGAGCGTGGAAGCTCGTGTATTTCAACAATCTACGAGAGAGAGGGAGAAAGAGAGAGAGAGAGAGAAGTAGCATGCCACCACAAGGTAGAGGCGTGCTTGCCGTCTCCAGGCCCCTGCATGACGGGACATCTGGATATCGGTATTGCCATTGCATCATGACGATGTGTTTGTTTCGGCGTATGGCGATTATAAAAGTAAAACATGGCCTTTCAACAGCCAAAGATAGATACCCTCAGCGGTTAAGCTGCTAGATAACGAAGAAAATGAGATGAACCAGTCAACGATTAACTGAGGTTGCTGCATTATCATAGAGATTTTGTACCTTTTTGCAATCATGAAATGTATGATTTTGTGATTCATATACAGCTTTAACAACGGGTCGTCGCTGATCTTCAGATACCATTCATCCAAGTCACCACGCTAAATGATCAAGTAACAAAACGCCACACCATGCCTCGTTAGATACATTATGCGTCCTATTCCTCGCTGTCATCGTCGTCGTCGTCTTCTTCCAGGTCTGTACGCTCAACAATGAGATTACCACTCCGCCCAATTCGCTGCTTGATCGAGCCCCCAGCCTTCAAATCATAAACTTCTCTCGGCATGGGCGACACAAGCTGGAATTTGTACTCGTGCTCGAAATCCTTTGGCTCCTCAATCTCTTCTCCAGCTTCGTTTCCAGACTGCAAGATGTCATAACATTCGACGAAAGCGTAGAGTTCCTCAATGTCCGCATCTGCTGCAAACTTGCGCACTACACGTTGAGCGTCGGGCATGCGTAGACTAATTCTCACCACATTAGTTTCGCTGGCATCGGGCTCTGGACGTATGGAAGCTGCGCGCCACTTGCGCCATTGCTGGAGGTTCTGAGCATAGCGCTCAATGGCTTGTTCGCGCTCGAGGGCTTCCTTTTCTTCTCTTGCTTTGCGCTCTGCCTCTTCCTTCTTCTTGCGCGCCTTTTCGCGGTCAGCGGCAAGCGATCGCTCGTATGCACTATTCTGCTGCTCTCGGATACTGCGCGTGGCCTGCTGTTCTGCGCGCTGACTACGCACGCGGTTCAGTGGCTCAGTGTGCTGTTGCATTGCAGTGCGCAGCTTGGCAACGTATTGCTGAGGAGGCGTGGGCCCTGTAACCCGGGTAGCGATACCCATGGCGGTCGAAGATACCTGTGGTGTGTGTACAATCAATCCCGTAAATGGAAACTTTGTGCATGAAAGCGCAGCGGAGACTTGGTATGCTTCGGAGTCCTGGACGTTGCCTGCCCAGAGGATTATGTTGTTATCGGGATTTCGTACAAACTCGACGACTTCGGGCGCGAGAAGCGTATCGCGAATGAAGGAGGATGTTTCGTCGTGCTCTGGGCTGATGAGGACGACCATGAGGAATTGGAGGTTCTTCTTTGCCAGGTCGAATGCTTGAGCATACCCGCTCTCGAAGAACGGCAGGTTGTGGCTTCCATATTCCTCCTCAAATTCGCGGATAAATCGGGCAGCCGTGTCTCGTGGGTTCAAGGGCCGGCGCCCGCTTGTGCTGCGTTGCGACGCAGGTGTGTTGATATTACTGGCTGTAAGCCTTCCCCATACACGAGGTAGGAAAGGAAATATCCATCCTAATAATCGGAAGCTCTTTGAGAACAAAGAGTATACGAGCGAGAAGGGCGCGAAAAAGATTGCGAGGACCAGCGGAACTTGAGTGCTGACCTGGCTTTCTGGCTGCGGGACGACCCGAGGCGCTGGCTCTATCATTGGTCTCCTTCCACTACTTGTTGACGACCGAGGCGCTCCGAAGCCATTCAACAGTGTTTCTTGCCGCCGGGTATCTCGTGGGGGTTGTTGTGCGGCAGCAACGGCGACGGGATCTTCGGTAGGTTCGCCATCAAAGAAGCGTGTGACGGCAATGTTGACGTTCCATTGCGCTCGTTGGAGGAGGGGTATTGCGGCGTCGACTGCTTGATCTGTGACAGCAGTGTATTGCTGAAGTGCAGCTTGTTGGTCTGGCGAGAGTGATCCGATGTCTACGCCGGTATCCGCCATCCTGGCGTCGGCGACCTTCTAACCTGGTCCAAGGCTTGGTTCAGAAATCGTGCTCGCGGGATATGGGAGACAAGTTCCGAGTAGACGGAGTGTGAAATCTGAAAGGACTGTGATGTGGCGGGGTGTATGGTGGGTGAAAGCGTAAGTTTATACGTTGCCTGTTCTTCGCAGCGATGATGTACATCGAGGTGGTCGTAGCTTCAGCCCACCAACTACGTACGTACGGAACCCAAAGGTGAGGCTAATCCCCGACTCTTGTCACGCAAGGTATTGACAACCCAGGTTATTGATTCGCCCAAGTAAAGCTGTCGGGCTGATCCAGCCCTAGTTTCTAGTCTGAGTAGTACATTTGCATCCTACAATGAAATATATATTTTTTTTGATTTCGTCGTGGGTCGTCTTTGTCTCTACCATGGTCCGGAGGTTCAAACTGGCTGTGCTGAAGTTTGGTCCGCCTGTACTAAACAAAGCGCAGTGTATACAGGGGGCAATAAAGACTTCTCGTATTGTAGGCATTATCAACGTGTTTTCATGCTTTCAAATACACGTCTATTCTGAAATTTTAACGAACGCCACATCAAATCCGATAGTTGCAGGCAGCCATGGTGGCTGTGAAACAGCCACAGATACACGACATGCCCATCAAAGCATATGCCGAGGTTGTTTCTTGTGCAATTGCCACGGGTAACAAGACGCTTCACTTTCCCAATCCGTATTTGTGGCAAAGAAGTCCATTTTCGAAGACTTTTTTCCAAAGAATTATGCAACAAATCGTGTTTCCCGATAGATGGATATGCCTTGTGGTTACAGTTGTGCATTGGTGACTGAACTTTTAGATCGCCTGACAATATGCTATATCTTGGGAGGTTCAAAAAGTTCGAGCATGCGTAGTGTCATGGGGATGAGATGTGCCCTAAATGTATTTCAACGGGAAGGCATCTAGATTTGCATGGGATTGAGATTCGATAGGTTAAAATGCAGCTAAAAGGTAGTATGCAAACGAGGCGAAAGCTTTTGCAAATTTGAAGGATTTAGGCGTCAAATTTCCCGAAATATAAAAATGTTGATTTCGCAAAATCTCAATGTTCTCAAAACCAGCACGCCGGATTGGCGCAGTGGTAACGCGTCGCACTTGTACCATGTACAGCTATGCGAAGATCAGCAGTTCCCAAGATGGTGGTACAAAGTGAATAATTCGTGAAAAGTGAGCTACAAGGCCTGAGTCAATTTAGATCAGTTCTGAAAAGCACAAACGCACTCTAGGGCGAGTTTCACTATAGTGTGAAAGAAGTAGACTAGTAGAAGTGTTACAGATTGGACGGATCGTAAGAAAGTGAAATCAAACAGGTTTAAATAAGCTTAACTGTGTCATTAGTGACATGCTCTACACGTACTGACCTCCTTACTGGATATGCACGATCAAAGGCAGAAGCTGCTTGTTTTTACTCGGGATAATTCCAATATAACCAAGCTTACTAAAGAGAAACTTCTGTAGTTGTATCTAGAAATTTAAAAACATTTTATGCAAATTAAAGCCGATACTGAATCGTGTTGTCAACGACCAAGGCAATGGATATGTCAATAGCCACAGATATTGTTATAGTGCGACTAACAATTGAAGTAGTAAATACCAATTGAGGTTCTGTTTTTATGTCAAGGGAGCAAAAGGCCCCGCGATACATATAGAGTCATGCGCCAATGAAGCAAAAACGCTAGGCTATCAAGCACATCCACTCATCGTAAAGATAACACATTTTGTGCTATACAAAAAGATCTGTACCGTTACTATTGCTAGGACTTTTGTCTTATCTGGAAAGAGCTATGCATAAATAGCCTATCCTTTTATAGTATATATAGATGTATAAGTATCATCTCAAGCATTTTCATATTGCCGTCTAGCGCATTCGGTCGGGATCCTACTTCACTCTGCTTCTTAGCTTTTAATTTCTAAGCAGCCTAGACTGATCTTCTCGTAGCTCTATTTCGTGGTGAATTGACATTTTGTCTTTCTAAAATCGTGCTTCTATCCATTCCCTGACCCCACCCTCCCCTTGCCTGTACCACGATCATGCTCGTCCTTCTCAATTATCACAACTGCCCGCACACTTTGTAGCGCTACCTTCAAGTTGTACATCCACTGGTAAAGTTTATTATTGTCCCCATCGAGTGCTATATCAAGATAGTGTCTTGCGTTCTCGATGACTTTAGCGTTAAAGCACCCAAGCTTTTAAGCTAAATCATCAATAACTGGACTGAGAATCTTGTCTTGCAGAGCTTATAGAACGACGACGCGGGTCTGATGCGGTTTAATATTGCTAGTTCGGGCCCGAGCCCACTCTCCGCCAGGGGTCAACAATAGACAGTCACTCCTTCCGAGTAGACAAGAAGCTCCATTCAGTGCAACAGCCATTCTGTGACTTGCTGGCTGCAAAGTCGCAATGACAAATGACTAGTTTTTTCTCAGCCCATACTCATCTGAAGGTAAGTATGTAATCTGCTGGTTCAGTCTATTCATCTTTTCGCAGTATTCTTGGTGTTGCACTTTTAGATATTCGTCCCACAACATCTCGCGAGCGGCCGGCAACCATTTGGCGTCACTTTCAACACCTGGTCTTAGCTCTGGTATAACTTGTTGGAACCATGTAAGTTGCCTGCCGGCCTGAATATAGCGGGTAAGTTCTATGAGTATACGTTCTGGCTGAGAGCACCGTATGAGCTTATGAAGCAATAGCTGCTCTTGGCTTTCTGAGACGAAGAGAGGCGTATACGAGCCGAGTATGTCTGAATGTTTGGTCTTAGATAATGTATCTAAAGCCGCTGGTAAACATGATAGTTGAGTTTGTGCATGGTTGGTCGCGATGGCATGCAAGGAGATTGTATCGTCCTAACCCTACATTGTTGGCTCGGGACACTCAGGAGTTGAGCGTATTTTACGGCGTTTACCCTTGTTCGACATTCTAGGGGATAAAGGATCTCGGTCGAATTTGAATATCGGTCGTAGGAAGGAGGGTTGAAGGACAGTGATGACAGACATGTGTGGAAGCTGGCGCGAATGAGTTAATATAGCATGCTTAAAACTGTGAACAAATGTGAAAGAATGTGTTTGCTCTTACCTTTAAATGGGCTCTAGGAAACTTACAGGGCAGTAAGGGTATGTTTTCATAATGAAGAGTAGTTATAGCAATCTAGAAACGATAAGTCAATCTATTCTTTACTCATAGCCATTTAGCTAGCAAGCACCCATTTTCAGTGGGACACACCCTTGTTGCCTCGTTGAAATACTGATAAGAAGACTCGTGAGGAACGTGCGATCAATGGTGACCAAGTTGAGTATTTCTCTTAGTCTTGATTTCATTATTTTGTGATTTTGAAAAAAGCGCTTCTAAATTACTAGATTTAAGATGCTCCTATGGCGCAGTGGTAACGCGTCGCACTTGTACTACCTTGCAATGCGAAGATCTCTAGTTCGACTCTGGATGGGAGCATTTATTTTTGGGTCCCGACACGACTGATTGTACTAACATGTCATTTGCATTATTTTTGCTTGGTGAGCGGCCCTATACCCTCGCCTTGTTATTGCAGATTTAACTGCATACTGCAATTAGTTTTAATGGTGTGTGGCGCAAGAATAACTATGATTGGGTCAGTCCTAAGAACTCCTACTATCATTGGTCACAGCTAGTATGCCAAGATGTTATGTAGAATCTTCTATCCTTAGATAGCGTCAAATCACATAATGGACACTAAAATCTCTACTTGATCAGCTATAGCAGCTAGCCGAAGGCCAAATCAATTAACAACTGGAGCAACTGGAGTAGCCAGGGTAGTGGCAGTCACAGCAGGGGAAAGATAAGGTAACATGGAGCTACTGCGTGTGGTCAGTGCGTGCAACAGTTCAGCCAATGCAACACCCCACCAAAATGCGTGCCCACCAAAAAATGAAGCTTTTGACCACCACTAAAACGATATTATTGCGAGATTTTTTGGTGGAGTACTCGTATGATCGTATATTTGATATCTATCTACTGATATTTGCTGGGTAACCGCACATTGCGGCCGCGCGTGGTG